CTGGCCTGATCCCCCCAGGCACTGTGCTCCTGGCCCGGTCCTGCCCCGCCTTTCCCGCCTCATTGGTGGAGGGGCCCTGCTTTCGGCTCACAGGGAAGCAAATGCAAAAGCCACAGTTTTAAATTTGGCACCATTTTTGTCTGCCTGCTGAGCGACAAAAACAGTGCCTAGTTAAAAACCATGGCTTTCACTTCCCTGATGATTAGGATCCTGGGGCCCCTGATTGGCAGTGGTCCCTGGGCCTGGGCCCAGTTGGCCCATGCGTTAATCTGCTTATGTTTCTACATTAGGCCTGGTTAATTTGCAACATGCAGGATTTTTCCTACATAAGTTACAGTGACAAACAGTGACTAAGTTAGTCCACACTCATGATTTTGAATTTATTTTCAGCAGCCACATCAATTTCATTATCATTTTCCTTCATGAATTGGACTCTTGACAGGAGTTGAAAATTCTGAATACTTCTAGGTATCTTTTTTTTTATCATTGAAACATTCAGGGTACCAAATCAGAACTTTTAAGCCCATCTTAGGTTATCTCTGGGAAGATTCTACTCTATCTTCTTTTTAAGTGTTTCAGGGATGCAGGTGGTAGCCATATTGTTGGTCTAATAAAAGATATCAACTTTGCCACGAGTTCAGAAACATTTAAAAGGAATCAGAACTCAAGCCGGGAAAATTCATAATAGTTTCCCCATTGTAAATTACTTTCCTGGATTTTTTTGTAGCTTGTTTTAACATTTCTTTTTTTAGTTGATATTTGAAACATTTACAATGCCTCATGACAAAAATTATATTTATTGCGCAATTAATACATTAATCCCACAATAAATTGTAACATAATACATGTGCACACAATTTAAGGTGTGATAAAATGGCAGACAATCCTCAAAGGTTTTCTACAATTAATGCATGTCCACTTTCAATGTGGGACATTTTTGTGACTGGTTTGTATTCCACCTCAATTTGAACATATATCACGTGTCCCAGACCTGGGGTTGCATCCTGCTCAATCCCGGGGCTCAGCTGATTGTTGGGAACAGGCAGGGGGTAGGCCCTGGAGGATATAGCCACCCACTGCCTGATTCCCACGATCTAGGAGGGGCATCCTTGGGTCCCAGGTCAAGCACCTGATTCAAGCACCAGACCATTGGGATCAGACAAGGGGCAGCCTTAAGTCATGGACATGGGACTTGGGGCTGCCTTATGTCTGATCTCACAAATCAGTTGGGCAGGGGACAGTCTCTGGGTCCAGGGTGCAGCCACCCCTTGCCTGTTGATAGGCAAGCTGATGCAGCCTGGCCCTGGTGCCAGGTTTCCCACACACCAGTAGTTGTGTGACTGCAGTCTGAGGAATTTTATTTCCAGTCCCAAAAACTGGGCATCCTGCCATGCATGACCTATTCCCCACCCCGCCCTCCACAGACTTACCTGCAGGGCACTGCTCTCAATGCTGGCCAGCTGCATTCCTGTAAATCGGCTATCTGATCAGTATTGGCCGATATGCCTGGTGAATAATTGGCTATCAGTATCGGCCAAGAAAATCTTTTATCAGTGCACCCCTAGTATGTAGTAATGGATTGTTGAAAACAATAGATATACATTATAATGTAAGTAGAATAAATGAGGCTTAGGTCCCAAAGGGCCATAAAATGTAGAATGGGGATATGGAATAAGCCATGAAACATTTGTCATTATGCAATAATTGACAGGTTATAATTGTTTAATTCAAAGCGTGTTTTAAGGGCATTTCCTCACTGTTTGAATCAAATCCGTTGGCAGTCTTTTACAGATTGGGCTATGGCAGGGGTGGGCAAAATACAGCCCGTGGGCTGGATCTGGCCCACCAAAGGATTCTATCCAGCCCACGTCAGGTCCCTCGGCCCTGCCCAGTTCAGGGCATGGTGTGTGTGGCTGGGTATATGGTGGCCGGGTGTGCAGTGGGGTGGGGGTGGTGTGGCAGCCAGACTTGGCTTCCTGGCAGCCTCTGCGGCAGCAGCTCACTCTACTGGGCCACTGCTGCCAGTGTCTCTGCCAGGTGCCAGACAGATCAGGCAGGTGGGATCCCATGGATACCGGCCCTGGAATTCTGTGGGCTGGGCGCGCTTGGCCAGGCAGATGGTATTAGGGCTGTAGGTGGGCAGAGGCATCTGGGCCTATGGCAGGGACCGTGGCCAGGATTGCAGAGTGGTGACAGTGCAGGGCAGTGCAGGGATATGTGGGGAGAAGATTGTAGCTCAGCCCTTATAACTCAGCCCTGGGCCCTGGCCCTGCACTATCACCACCGCACGATCCTGGCTCCGCCTGCCCATCCAGCCCACTCTAGAAACTGTTCCGCGCCTGTCTGCAGCCCCATCCCATTCACCCAGCCGAGCGCACCCTGCTCTCACAAATCCTGGGCCAGTCTCCGTGGAGACCCCACCTGTTTGCTCTGTCCAGCACCCCTTGTGGTGGGTGTGGAGTAGATGGGGTGGTTAGGGTCAATTGCTTCCTCCTCCCCTCCCTGCTGTGCCAGGCCTGGTCAACATGGTCTCCTTCTCCTCCCACCCCTGCCCACAACAGCTCACCAAAACTCCTTAAGTGGCCCAAATAATTGTCCACCCCTGAATTATGGGGATTTTGGGAGAGATCCTTGCTCAGATTTCCTATGGGGCTATTAGTTTTTAAAAGTACTGAGCATCTGCAGTACCTATTGATTTTAGTTGCATTTAAAACCCATACTGCAGGGGTGGGCAATTATTTCGGGCAGAGGGCCACTTACTGGGTTTTGGCAAGCTGTTGAGGGTTGCATGCGTAGCCCCACCCCTTGACAGGTGCCCTGCTCCCTGGCCCTCATCTTGTGATTGGAAGTCCTAACCTCTAACCCCTGGCCTTTGCCACCAGAAGTCCCTCCTCTTGCCCCCAGAAGTACTCCTTTCAGTAAGGGGTTTTGCCATCTTGGAACCAGAAAAATACCAAATGATATTTTAAAAATCGAACATCTAGAATATTCATTAATTTGATTTTTAAAAAAGTTTGTCCTGATTTACATGTATTTGTGTAGCGGCAGGAGCACAGGACCTCTGGCCCCACTCCAGCACAGCTGGTGCAAGACCCTGCACTCCTGCCGCCTCACTCTGGGCCCTGCTGGTGCTGACCCTGGGACACTGGCGCAGGCCCTGCGCTTTTGCCCAGCTA